TTATTGTACTTTTTAACACACATGTCCCAGAGGCGTGAACTGACCTGTTCCGACAGCATGGCTTGTAATACCAATGGTGACTCCGAGGGATATATTGTCATCTTGTTGAGGGGAAGGAAAGACATCGTGTTGATAAGCTCTGCAGGCTCCAGTTGACATTGTAGAAGAATGCCTACCTTTCGCAAACCCCACAACTTTTGCCAATTTGAGGCCTACGACGTCCCCGATCACGCCAGAAACAAGGATCATGACGACGCCCAGACTCGTATTTGCTTCAGTCAGGACCGAGTCGAATATCTGAAGAGCTAGCGGAGTGGTCACGAATCTGCGTGCGCGCGTTGTAGATCAGGGCCGATGGGTGATAAGCTGTGTCGGTCGGTTATCTACCTCGGTCCCATTGCCAAGCTGTTGGAAGCATCCATTCCAAATGCTTTACTTATCCCCACATGAAAGAAAAGCGATACAATAGACAACGAAGCCACGGCAGTTAGGATTGTCGCGGCCTGGCAAAAGAAAGCGTGAGCGCGTGAAATCTGGAACAGCAGCTTGGTGTTGTTGTGCCCCCCGAATGAATGTATTTCTTACGTATTCACGCAGCAGTTGTCGCTGCTTGTACATCCGCACCGCCAACGCCGCAACAGCCGCATCCAGCAGACTGTACAGAACGTCTCCCGCTCCCGGCTCAGGCACGGGACGCTGCGCGGCCATGGCAGTCAAGATCTTTGTAGACTTGGCTGTCCTAGAATAGGAATTTATAGCTGGGGCAAATGTGAGGATGGATGCAATTGTAAGGTCCTTCTCCGCATTCCATCTTCTCACCGGACTTCAAACTATGGCCCTGCAAGCCTGCGATCGCCCATAGACCCATGATTGTAAGGAACCCGCATGTCAGCAGCGGATGGAGTAAAATTTTGGCTTGCCGCGGCATAGCAAGGCCAATGTAGTAAGCGAGGATGGTGATGCATAGGTGGACGGGTTGGAGAATGTCTGATGTGAATGCAATGACGAGACTCGGGCCGAACAGTGCCGAGAAAATGATAAGCGTAAAAGGGTGGATGGGAATTCGGAAAAGTCCCGAGACTCCCGGGACAGGCTTGGTGGGGGGTGATGTGTGTGCCTTTTCGGACGATTTGATGCTGCTTGGATCAGAGCGCATAGAGACGTCATCGGCGCCCAGTTCGGATTGAGCTGGCAATGACTCGTGCAGCGTCGGACTTTCGTGGCCCTTGACCTGGAACACGTATTGAAGACCTCGGGCGCTCCATAGCGATAACGGAAAGAACACACAGAGTCCAATCACTATATATGGCCATCAGTACGGTTCCTTTAAGGCATGGCCTGACGGCTCTTCCGAGAATCATGAAAGACAGAACATACCAAAACCACCTATGACCCTCCCTATTTCTCGTCCACTCAGCAGGTCCTGGGCCGGAATAATGACCACTGCTGGTGCAAACATCAGGGTCATCCATTTCAATAGCCATTCTACTCCGCCGTCACTCCATTTAAGCACTCTGTCTATGGCGGCTGCACCATGCGGAAGTCGCGAAATCAAGAGGAGAGCGAAAAACAGAATGAGCATGGACAGAACCTGAATTGCAACGCACGGTGAGATCACCGTGGAAAAGGGATATGTAACAATCGAACGTACGCTGGCGGGGACTTTTGATTGCACCATGCGGTCCACGGCCCATACATAAACAAGCATTGTTGTGGTGAACAATGGAATGAATAACCAGTCATTGAGCAGATCCTTGCGACTGGGTCGGAAAGTAATGTATATACGCTTGGACAGCGAGGGAATCTGATCTTGCGTTGGCTCAGTGGTGGGATGGGGCAGACGACCACGACTGCAACTCCGCTGTCGCAACATCAGCAAGTGTCGGCGATATCAACGAGAAGTCTTGAGCTCAAGTCGCGGTTGCGTCTGACAGTTTGCCACAACAACAATGTCCTCCCATCCGCCACTCATTCTTGGCTCCTCCTCCAAATACCGTGCCCACCTCCTCACTGCCGCATCCATCCCATTTACCATCCTCACGTTTCCGATCGACGAGAAAAACAACATCCCAGGCCGCACTGCAACGTCGACACCCTCAGAAACAGCCCTCGCCGTTGCCCGCGCCAAAGCCGCTGCACTGCTTGCGAATCGCGCAGAAGACGTCAGAAATGCGCTGGTGGTCACTTGTGACCAAGTTGTGTCCTGCGGTGGGGAAATGAGGGAGAAACCGAAGGATGAAGCGGAATGCAGAAGGTACCTGAAGGGGTACGAGAGCCAACCCGCGGAAACGCACTCGGCGGTGGTTGTTAGTACGTATCTTTCTTGCCATGGCATGCCTGATTTGCCACTCGGCGGGCGAGTGGCTGCGTGAGTTTGGAGCCGAGGAGGATGCATTACGTGTGTGAGCTCGACCGTTGTTCTCTTTTGATTCTCATAACCTTTTTCTTTCTTTGCTATTCCGTCAGCCAACACATCAACCGGAGCAGTAGCCGAAGGTGTCGATGTCGCTCGTCAACACTTCCTCCCTCTCCCGGCGCATATCATCGACGCGTTGATCGCAAAAAGAGACGTGATGTATTGCGCCGGCGGGTTCATGATCGATGATCGTACGTATTCTTCCACTAACATATTTTTCTAGTCGTCACAAATACAGCTTCTAAACAACGCTTGTTTGCTCCAATAGCGATTATGTTTCCGTATTTGGGAGCTCGGGAAGGTGATGAGGATTCAATCATCGGGATGCCCCTAGTGTTGCTGAAGCGGCTGATAGAGCAAGTGTCCAACTAAGAACATCTATCCGGTTTGAGGTTAGACTTTTAGATAGACCTCCGTGTGAACCCGTGCCCCACAATGGCTACCTGTGCGCCTATCCCAGCAGACGGCGACGACTGGCTTGAGGCAGACGCTAATCGGAAATGGGTCGAGTTCTACACTCCGGAGACTGGTAGCAGGACAAGCATCACAGCTCTGTAGACGCACATGCCCACAGTGATACAAGCAAGCATCACGTTGGCGCGAGGCGTACGTAGCTTCGTGAGCTTGCAATGCACTGCCGCGGTTGATCGGGAGGGAACAAGGAGGATCATGTCAAATGAAACAAATTTGCAAGGATAAGAGCAGACGAGGAGATATTTTTGATTGTGATGATCCGTGTATCGAAGTCGCACGGACTATCCATAAAGATGAGAAGAGCAATGGGAGATTCGATGGTTGGGCATTTTCCTCCTCCGGACCTCCCTTGCATCGCGCCGCCCAGCAGCCTGAATCGAGGTTCGAGACCCTGAAGTTATGTGACTCCCCTCATCGCTGGAATCGCGACCATGCACGATCAGCCGCTTGGGGTCGGCCAGTCTGCGAAGGCGTGCAACTTAAGCCGCTGTTGCGTTCTCCTCTGCCAACATCGCCACAGCCCCGCTGGCACTTAAGATCGAAGCCGATAAGGGTCCAGGAAGCCGGCAGGCAGAACACTTGAAGTAGACATTGTATGGGCTGACGGCTAATAAAAGGACAGGCAAAACTGACCGGATAGCTGTGCATTAAAGTACTGGTCGATTTTTGGGGTGGCTTAGTCTGGCGTCTCCGCCACGGGGATTTGTACACTGCGGATGTACATTGCACACGTCGTCTTTTGTGACTACTAAGTTGGACATTACATCATAATGCGGATCTTCCGAATTTATGTCGATGTAAGTCCCACAGGTATGCAATCTCAAACCGTAATATTTCCGGTCTGTGATTGCGTGAAACTATTCTACCCAGTATTTCGTCCAAATTGGTGACCAGAATGACCTTTCGAGACATGCAAGCGTGGTTTGCGAACGGCTGATAACATTCCTACGACCTCTTGAATTGGTGTGAAAGGGAATGGGACCAGAGATAGACGTTCTTTCCTGAATTGCGCTCATTCGCAAGTGAGAAGTGCGAATTTTGTTTCTGATATGTAAATATCTATTTTGATAATCGAAAAGATGGCAATGTGATAACTGAAGAGATGGCAACCGTAGCATATGTACATGTAGGTGGATGGTCTGCTAGTCTCGAATCTGCAGCGCAGCAAGGCACAGTTGAGGAGTCATATCGAGTGGGGTATACTTTGCGCAGGGATGGAGCAGATGGGCAACGCTTACGTTCACCATCGACTGCGGGCCCCACCCCATCTCAACAAGAACCACGCAATCAGACCTCCAACCACCATTCCTTGCATGAAGCTGTCACCACCGAAACCCACTTGGCCTCCGCCGACATCGTTGTGTGTCGGCGCACTCCGCGTTGTTAATTCGCGGAGGGCTTGTACTATCCGGTCATAAATTGTAGATAGGTCCTTTCTAATTGTCAATTGCTGAATAGTCACGGTTTCTCCAATGCTTGAGAGCAGCGCTTTTTGTTGGTAATGGTGAAATATTTGGGCGTGGGGTCCTGTAGTATGCCCACCAAACAAAAAGGCTCGTCAGTCAGCCAGTTAGCCAGGCGGGCTTTCCACAATTACCGATACGTTATCCTTGACACTCACCGACGTATCTCAGACACTGCAACGCCAGCAAACATCTTTGCTTCTCTCCCTCGCCTTCAACAACCCGCTCTACCTCCTTGTCGCTCAGATGCACGAGCGCATCACCGTCCACGTTCGCGTCCAAAAGGTGATCTTGAAACGACTCTGGGAGCGCTAAAGTGTGCGCCCATGCAGTGGCGTGTAGCGGCGACCACTCTGCAGGGTCTGCTGGTAAGAAGGTCGAGGACAGGAATGGCGGGGCTGTCCTAGCGTGCGCTGTCGTGAGCATTGAAACGGACGTGTTCCGAAGATTGCCAAATGGTTGTCCTAGTCGGAACCTTCACCACTATACTTCGTGGTACTCTAGCGTGGAAACTCAGACTAGCTGCATCCCTTGGCTTGACAGAGTCAAGCTCACCAGCTGCTGCATACGGATTACAGATCCTTTGAGAGCTACGACACACAATCTCCACACATACAGTAGGCTGAGAAGAAAAAACAAGACCAAAAAGATCCCACCGAGATTCGAACTCGGGTTGCCAGAGTCAAAACCTGGAGTGCTAACCACTACACTATGGGATCTTGGGACATTACGTTTTAAATACTGGTCATATGCCATATTTGTGCACGCTGACCACAATTTTGTTGCCACGGCAGCCACACGCGAGTTTCGGTAGCTGCAACTTCTTCAGCGACGGCGACACTACTTCAAGCCGCTCATTAGATCGACTTCAGGTCCGCTCCTGTTATAGGCTTCGTCATGCCAGCTGTTCGTCCTGCATTGTGCCCTCTACTTTCTGCGGCGGCGAGGGCAGCGCCATGTCGGCTCCTTAGGTCTTCGGGACATTCAATAACTTCGGCGAGGTGGGCTTCCTCGTCTCAAGCGAAAGCGGTTGACGACACCCACCCCTCACCAGCAGCAACCCCAACACAAAACCGGACCGCAGAACCCACGGACTCTGCTACCACGATACCCACCATCAGTAGCGCCGCACAGCCCGCCACATCCGCTCCTTCCAAGACCACTCCGACTCCAAAACCATCCAGTAAGGCTAGCAGCTTCCCGCTCCCTTCCATATTCCATAGAAAGTCGTCGCTCGCCGCACATGTCGCAGACTACCCGTGGCTGCTCAGCACGTCGCCACCGCGGCGGCCGCGTCCAACGTTCTGGAGCGTGCTGCGTGATAAACATTTCCTGGCGGTCGGGACCGCGCGGGCACGCAAACACCTCAATCACCCGACGTATGACTTCCCCGATCAGTTCTGCGATGATGCTGCAGCAGTCACCCAGCAGCTGTTTGAGACCTTGTCCGATCCACAGCGGGCAGCCGACGAAGAAGCGCTGAGACCTGTGCTAGTTAAGGCGGTTGCGGATCGCTATGCCCATGGATATAGAGCTATGTTGGCGCAAGGGAATCGCATAGAGTTTGTCTTGAAGAGCAAGCCGAAAGTGACGGTCACAGGAACGCACTTCACATATGGGCCATATCCAGCTCCACAGGGCTACATCGCTCAACAATGGTGGTCCCTGATCGAACTTATTATACCGGAAGAAGACGGTGTATTTACATCCCACCCACGACAAAAAGAAATCATGCAGCGCGCAATGGACGACGGCGTCTTTTTCAAGGTCGATGTCCGGGTGGACTGTGATTTGGAGTTTATCGTCACGGATGAGAGGAGTGGAATGCCCATCATCAGAGATACGCGTCGACAACTAGATTTGCAGTTCATCTCCCCGCACTTTACGCCATGGGACGAGGTGTTCGAGTTGGATTCTCAAGGGGAGTGGAAGTTGAGATGGCAATGGAGAATTTCTGATGTGGATTGGATCGTTGAGAGCATGATGCCAAAGGTGGATAGAAAACATAAAATAGATTGGCGGCCTAGGAAGGACCTGTAGGACAAGTACCTTCGCCACTCTCGCCCTCTCCGCGCTTCCTGAATATATATTTACATAGCTCGTAATGGCTCGCAAAGGATAGGGCAAATCATGCAAAAATGTTTGCATAGATGAATGTTGGTCGCGATTGTATTCCTATGTAGCAAACATCAAATCCTGGCCTGAATCTCCTCGGAGAGTTTCTTCAATTCATCCATGTCAGCCTTCTTAGCAGGCCATCCAACACCAAGTCCCTCAGTATCATTCGGTTTAGGGCTATTGTAGAAAAGAACAGATGTTCGTTAGTTTAAGCCGATTGCACATCTCGCTCACAAGATTCTGGTGCTCACATGATGTGGAAATGCACATGGTCCACTTCTTGATCTGTGTTATCCAGAAGGGATAGGTGAGTCCAACGAGGCGGTGAAGCAAGACGACTCGGAGACATCACGCGATACGTACGGGCAAGGCGGCCATTGTTCTGCAGAATGTTGTAGTTTGCAACGTTGAGCGCTTTCGCTACTTTCTTTGCTACAGGCATCAAGTCAGCCAAGCTTTCGTCAGACAGCTGGTGCATGAACTGTGCGTGCTCTGTCGTCATTTGATGAGTTTTGCGGTCTGATTCCCCTCGAAATTGGGCCACTGCTCAGCGGATAGTTCCAGTTACCTTTTGAGATCACGAGCTGTTCCATCAGGCCATTTAAAAGTGTGATTAGCGCTATGTAGACATTTAAACATCAATGCTTCCATGGAAAAACCTACAGCCTAGAAGCGAAGAAAGTGAGTACGTTAGCATCAATCTCCCCGTGATAGGTTTGAGCGTTCAGGACGCCTTTACTTACATGGCCTTTCGACAGCGGCCCAACGTCCAAGAAAGCGAGCGACAGCTCAGTCTCGAGGACTTTGAAGGAGGGGATGGCGCCCTGTCACCCATACGATGAAAGTGAATAATCAGCCCGTACAATGCATGAACTATGGCTCAAGATGTACCTTAACGATCTGTCCAAGGTGCAAGAAAAAGTGCGTTGTGTCAGTGAAACGGCAGGCCCAAATCGAATACCTGGCAGTTTTCCAACCTTGCAAAACAGACACGTAGAAGCCATTATAGACAGTGAGTGTATAAAGTGTGAAGTAGCGGAACGGCAAATGTGGGGAATGGTTGTTGCCTCGTTGAGGCCAACTTCCCCAGCAACAATGTCATTTCCATTTATCCAAATCGGGCTCGATGAAATGACAAGCATTTTAGACACAATCGCGACAGCAACCTGGTTGGTTCGGGCACTACTGAGTTGAGCGCTTGGAAAAGTGTTCGTGAAACCAAAGCCATGTTTATCTTTCTGTAACACGTGAAGTGAAGGTTATGTGGTATCAGAGTGCGCTTGTCTTCTATTCTAACATAATAGTTCACAATCGGCGCCCGTCAAAGCAGCACTACGTCGCTGATCTTGTGTGAGTACTTCATACTCGAGCCTTCGAAAAAGCGCTAGGTGTTCATCACTTGCTGGATGAAGGGCGGCCCACTCATCTTTCATGAGGCGGGCCCACAAAGCGGCGACCTTCTTCATACCATCCGCAACAGCGTCCTCATCCTCCCAAGGCGGAACAGAACTTCGATGTCCCCCCTGATCCTTCAACATCAACAATCTTCCGGCATGAAACACCAGAAAATCCCACAACATTTCATAGCCAAAGCCCGCATTATTCGCCCTCAACATCATCTGACAGTGTGGGTCCCACTCATCCTCGCCCATTTCAATTCGATGTTCCCCAATCGCGTTCCGGATGTATGCCAGGTCCGTTTCCAGATTCTCAAATATCGTGTCGATATTGCGGGCGTTGCACCAATTATGATTTATCGAGATGGTTTCGCCAATATTCTCGACCTGATGATACCACCGGCTTGGGACAAAGACAAGCTCGCCTGGGCGCTGATAGATGATGATTGGCGTTGTGTGCATGTGGAAGGCCGGGAATTCGGTTGGGGAGGCAGTACGAATGTCGGTGATGGTGTCACCCCGGGCGTTTGTCAAGTAAGCGGATTGGAACGGTGGGAAAAAAGTCCATTTCTTGATACCGCAGATGTTGGCGGACCAAGAGAAGCTGTTGAAAACATCCACATGTAACGTAGTGCAGGTGCCTGATGCTCCCATATCTGCCCCGTGAACAAAACATCCAGGTTCATCTCCAAACGCAAAGATAAGCTTCTACACGTGACACATACTTACAAACAAACCGATAATCATCGTCCCCATCCGTATCCAAATACGCATTCAACCAATCATCCGCAACCCACTGTGGGGTTGTATAAAACGATTCCTCGTCTCCTTCTTTCTGGCACTCCCGTAAAAGGTGCCAGTCCCTCAAATATATTTCCTCTCCAGCTTCCATGCTATTCAGAAACTCTTCAAACCGCATCGGTTCAGTTCTGCCTGTTGGTTGGACGACAAGGTGGCCATACCGGGCTCGTAGATATGGATAGTTTGGTCGCCTTTTCTGATTGTCGAGGACAGTCCACTTCTCGGTTGCAGGTTGCAGCGGGAACGTGAGGATGCAGATGTGGTCGTGTTGAATACAGTTGTCGTTGTACCTTGTGTATCGCGGTATGGAAGGTTGTCCTGCTCCACCAAAGCGAATAACGTATTCTGATTCGGCCTGCGAATTCGCTCCGTCCATGGGGTTCTTGTTCGAAGGAACGACGCAGGTCGAACGAACACTCCAAGAAGCAAAACGCAAGTCAATTCCTAGAGCTCCTAATGACCTGGAGCCGAGGTTTTATCCAGTGCCACACTGAGAGTGCGTGCTGTTGAATTGACAATTATCAACAAAACGAAGAATCTGGAGGCCCGTTTTTCGTTCGCTTTCTGTCTGTCGCATGTGCGCAGCACACGCGCACCGCACACTCATCTTGACAGGTTGAACCCTTCAAGATTGTTGGTTGTTTGTGAAGTTTCGTAGGTTTTGGGCAGGAATGTTACAACTTCTAAAACCTAGGAATGTCACAACAACCAAAGACCATGTTACGGTACACTTTCCTTTCGAACGCTCACGCAGCCTTGGTCCATGAGGGTCCACCTATGGGACACAACGCCGGCCGGCTAAAGCGTGCTTGAATGCAGACGGTCCTAGCCGGTTCGCTCCTCTGCGGCCGGTGAGACCTGAACAAACCACCTTCCTGCTCCTTCATTCCTCAACCTGATCAGTGCTCTATGGGCACATAGCGGCGGAACCAAAGCTTGCACGAAAATCATGATCTCGAACATCGTCATAGCTACAACGGCGTTTCTGTGCAGCGCAAACACACCTGAAGCACATTCTCCACTTCTCTTCACCCCAATTTTCCTCAGAATTTCTCTCTGCGTAAGCGTTCAGCGAGTGTTCGGGTACACCTATTGCCAAAAGTCTTCACTGTGTGGCCATATACGCGATACCAGATCGAGACTACGAACTTACCTGTGCGTTCCTACACACCTTCGCCGAATTCCAGACAGGAGACCAGTACGTCTGGGTCCCCGAAGTCGCAAGACATGTGTGAACGTACCTGAAGGGCCCTTCCCGTGCTGTGACGACTTCGCATCTGGTCTACAAGATGCTGGTGAACGGGATTCTTCGCGATTGACTATACATCCCCGACGAATCATGTCACCTTCGACGAATCATCAGTTTCTAGTACTCGGTTCCAAGTATGCTAAGTTATCGAGAA